AATAATAGTAAAGAAAAAATTCGTAAATACGAAGCAACTCTGAGAAGGGAATCTGTTTTACAATTTGTTAATGAAGGTACTTCTGCCAAAGAAGAATTCCAACAACAATTAGAGTCTCAAGAACAAGAATACGAGGGACAACTTAAAGAACGTGATGCTGTCATAACAAAATTACGCAAAGACTTTAAAGCCGTTTCTACAGAAAAAGATAATTTGTTGCAAACTGTTAATGAATTAAATCTCATGTTGAAATCTAAATCAAGAACTTTAGATCAACGAGAAGTCACTATTAATAACTTGGAGAGTGAAGTTGTTAAACTTAAATCGGATCTAGAAGCAAGGATAGAATTATCAAAAGCTAATAAATACAATAATAGGTCAGGTGATACAAGTGAGAATGATGCCAAACAACTTAAAATACAGCTTGACGCAGCACACGAAGAATTAAAAAATTTAAGAGCGGCAAAAGAAGATTTAGAAGCACAATTAAAAAGTGCAAATGCTAATTTGGAACTTGCCCAAGAAGAATTCTCATCACGCGAGGACGCATTAGAAAAAAGTAATGCAGGTATACAAAATGAGTTAGATGGGTTACTAAAAGAATTTGATAGGTTAACAAGAAATTTCATGGATTTTGATACAGAAAGGCAGAAACTTGAAAAACAGATTGATACTTTGCAACGTAAGTGCGAACAGTTGGAAAATGGATTGGCTGATGAACGTATAAAGCATATTGGATTGGATTCTAATAATAATGAACCTACTACCACTACTGCATTAAGAAAAGAATTTAGAAAAATGATGGCTGATTTAAGGAGCGAACAACAAAAACAAATATCTAAAGAACAAGAAGAACGAAAGAAATCAGAAGATATGATTAGAAATCTTAAACGTGAGAAAGAAGCTGAAAAATGGGAGAGGGTTAATCAAGGAACTCAAACAAAATTTGTTGTTGAAATGATTAGTGGATAGCAATATTTTTGGCAGATAATTAACTTTTATTTTATACACATGTATTTTCAATTATTTAATTAGTTATTTGTATTTTTATATTAATTTTATAAAAAAAAAATTTCATTGAAAGTCTATTTATTAATAAGAAAAAAATGGCAATTTTTTTCAATTACGAAATTTTTTTTTATTTTGTAATTTTTTTAATTAAATAAAAACTTCAATATATATATATATATGTATTTGAATAATAATAAAACAAATAAATAAATAAACAATAAATGAGTCAATCATGTATTTAAAAGAATGATAAAACAATTATTTTATAAAATGATGATGACTTACTTATCATTCTAAATTAGCAAATAACTTGAAATTAAATTAAAAAAAAAAAAAAAAAACGATAAATTAACATTTATCATATTAAATCTTGACCATCTTCAGGTGTCACTAATCCATCATATTCATCATCTTCAGAAGAAGATAATGATTTGTTATTTTGATAAAATGTATCATAGTATGACGGTGATAATTTTTTTGAATTATAATCACTATCACCACTATCAGTACTACTATTAGTGTCAAAACTATTTGTTGATTCGTAATGACCACTAGAAAGATCTAATTCATCACTTCCACTACTATTGTCATTAAAACTCTTTTTGCTAATACTATCGCCATTATTAACATCATCATAGTTGTCAGTAACAAAAGTTTTACCATTGACAATATTAGAGCCTTCATCTTTATCAATAATAGCGTCATAATTATCATTAGATGATTGACGATTCTTGAGTTGTTTATTTAGTTCACGCCTAACTGATTGTCTACCTTTCTGAATTGCACGTTCAATTCTTAACCGATTAGAGATCATATGAAGTTTAGGCCAAGTGACTCTTTGACCGGTTGTAATCATTCGATCAAGTCGTTCATAATCAGGATCTGCAAGAAGGTATAAGAAATCCCAAATGCTAGATCTTGGCCAAATAGTAATATTTGCATCAAATCTTTGTAGCCAAATTGAGCTCCAGTCTTGATCGGCGACTTTTGGTAGTAGTTCTAGATCTCTAACCCATTTCAACCATTTACTCAGGTCCAATTTCAAGTATTGTTCAACGCCTGCTGCAAGAAAACCACCTCTCCAGCCCCTACCATGACGATGAGTAACAGGTCTACCTATTGAACCCCTTGGTGCATAAAAAAATAAATGAATATGTGGATTCACTTGTGAAACTATAGGGTTTTTAACATTGAAATGCATATTAAGTGGTTCAATTGGTATGTCAGTGCGTAATGATCCATCCTTCCACCGATTACCATAATTGTAAGGTACCAAAGTACCATTTTTTAATTTTTGCATTAAAACAACTGGATTAAGAATTCCAGGTACTGCAGCACTTGCAATCACTAAAAAGAAAGAAGGATTTTAAATGCAATGTATTTTTAAAAAAAAAAAACATAGACAATAGATATATAATAAAGATTTACCGGCAGACCAAATAACACAATCAGGAGCAGTAATATAGTTTAATACTTTTGGAGGAGAATGTGGATCAAAAGGGATAACTGAAATATTGAGTATTCTTCCGGTTCGTCGATAAGCTTCTCTAAAAGTTAAACTACCTTTCGTGATCCATTGAGTTTTTTTTGCCCAATCAACGGCATCAAACCTAGCACCAGATCTCCACCATCTGTACAACCAATTAGGAAAAGGTTCTTCACATGCTGTAAGTTTTTGACTTAATTCAGGTTTTAAGACTTGATGTAATTCATCATCGGTTCTTGTACAAATTAATGCAGCAATTAAACCACCAGCACTGGTACCAGTGATCACTGTTGGTAGAAGACCAGCTTCAAAAAGAGCCTTAACAACACCAAGATGATAATAGCCAAAACAAGCACCGCCACTAAGACATAAAGCTGTTTGACCATAATTTTTTTTTGCATTTCTAAATAACTTTTGTTTATCTTCTAATGATAAATTTTTAGTTGTCCTAATATATTCTAATGATGCCGTCACTATAGTTATTATATATATAATGCTTATTATAACAAAGTTTATTTTTTTAAAAAAAAAAAAAACAACTATTGGAATAAATTTCACCTTCATCAATATGATCTTCGACAATTTTTTTTGTTCCATAATAAGTTTGTGAATATAATCTAGAATTTTCAACACCAGCAAAATTATTTTTTACACAATTTTGAAGAACACTTTTTAACAATTGTGGATTTTCATTTGGGTTGTCACGTATAGTTCTCAAATCACGATTAACTTTTTGTAAAAGATTAAAGTCATAATAGCCGAAAGGTATTTCATCTTTCCATTCATTATATTTGAAATAAAAATCCAGTTTTTGTGCAGCATCAATCCATTCATTATATGTTGTTGATTTACGAAGTTGTTCACGTAATTTTCTTCGTTCACCTCTCCTTTTAATAAGAATGAGTTATTATCATTGTAATTATGGTTATCACATGCTTTAGACACGAATTAATATATATATATTTATTTAATTTACCATTGAAAGAAATATTCCCATAGATTTACTATTTGTCGTACCAAAATATAGAGCAATAGTTCAAATGTAATAATTAGAAATATAATTAACTATATATATATAGACAATGAATATTAGTGAGAACAATGATCAAATTAGAAAGAATGAATGAGTGAATTAGAATATCTACCATCAATGGAAATCTAACTATATGATATGAAATTCCATCGAAATTTGTAACTTTAGGTTTCTTTTTTTTAATTTTTTGTCTAATCGGCATAAAATCGGTCATGGCACTAATATGTTCATTTGGATCTTTATCAGGATCTTCTTCTAAAGCATTTTTGAATGCTTCTATATGATCATTATTGATATAATCTAAAGAAAACTCGTCTTTGAAAATTTTGGTTTTTGGTGAAAATTTGCGATTTCTAGTTGTAATTGTGGGCATAACTTTTGTCACTATCGTTGGTGAAACTTTTGATTTAATATAGTTTACTGACATTTTTAAATTATAATAATTTAATAAGAAAAGAAAAAATATAAGGAGGTTAAAATTTTTATTAATTTATAATTTTAAAAATAAAAATTTTTGGGGCGGTTTGTCTATCAAACAATAAACATGACAACAAACAGATCTGCACCAACCCCAAAATTGCACGACAAACAATTAATCTCATGTGAAAAATTTTGAAGTTTTGGGGAGATTATATGGGGCATGCAATACAATTACAACGCCACAAATTAATTTCAGGGACTCCGAGCTTACTAGCCTTTTTTTTATATCAAACAAGTAAACATTGATTAATAATAATTTTTTTATTTCTTAATATGGGGCATGCCATATAGGATGTTAATCGATTAATTTTTATAATCGATAATCGAATCGAAATAATTACATTGCCGTCACCTCAATCAATCCCGTTTTATTTTATTTTTTATTATTCTTTGATGGTTAAAAAATTATCAACAAATTTTTTTGTTTCGTTTCAAGAAAAGGACATGATCAACAGACTTAGAGCTAAGTCTATTCGTAACAAAGTAATTTGTTCTCCCGCATCAGAGCAAAAATCTTTCCGAAGGAACTGATGTGCCAAATATTTTTGGTTAAAATAGTAAGTATTGGGGAATTTTCAGACAATCATTATTAATTATATTAATATGTATTATTAGTGTACGAATTTGTAAAATTAAAATTGTTTCAAATATTATTTATTATTATTGTTATCAATGCTTGCTATTATTATGCTTAAAACGTTTAGAATGAATGAAATATGTATATCATGCATGGATTTGTTCGTTAGGTTATGGCATTTTAAAACAAATGACTTCTAAAGTAAATATTACTACTATTATTATATTATTTATTTTAATTTATTTTCGATTTCAATTCCGGTTGTCGATTGCAGATCTTGCATTTTAAAATTTATCCAAATTTGTAAACCTAAATGATTTGCATATTAATATACAATTACAATTGTACGAGCATCATCCTATGTAGGGTCCTACCGGACTTTTTGGGACCCATTTTTTGTTCAAACAAATAAAATGTCGCAAAGTATTGGAAAAAATTGTAATGAGCTCAAAGAAAAATACGATGCTTGTTTCAATTGGTGGTACTCTGAAAATTTTCTTAAAGGGAATCCAAATCCTGATTGTAATGAGCTTTTTCAACAATATAAAGAATGTGTTAAGGTAAATTAACATATTAATTAACAAGGTTTTTTTATTTTTTTAAAAAACATCAATAGTTGATTTTTTATGCATATAAAATTAGAATGCAGTAAAAAATAAACAGATAGATAAGATATTAGGGGAGGCTCGTAAAGACGATCCACTTGCATCATTAATGACAGAAAATTAAACTGACTTCCTTTATTAATTAATTATGAAAAATAAAGATGAGGATAATACATATATTTTTTAAATATTTCAAATGTTAATTTTAATTCTCGTCGTATACTTTTAGATTCATGTGGGTGTGTATGTCTGATGACAATGTATGAGCAAGGACAGGAGCTTTAGAATCATAAATAATCGTAAATAAAATAATTTGTAACCAGATATAGGAGTGGACAAGTAGTACTATTGATGTTTACCTTGTTTCTATTGTCCACACCCCTATACAACAAGCAATTGATTCTTTATCTTTCTTATTATCAGAAAAGAAATAATAAAATTCCAATGATTTAAAATCAACTTTGAATATCAAAAACATCAGGTTGTGCATCTGTTATTCTAGAACTTCTCCATCAAGTTAAGGTTTGAATATCGGAAGTTTGTCATTTCATCACAGAAAAGGTGAAGAGTTCTACCACGAAGTTCAAAAAAACTGCGTTTCCAAAACTTTGGTTTCTTTTTTATTTATTTATTTAATAAAAAAGATTACGTCAATAAAAAATACTTATATAATCAGTAATGTATTCATTTAATTTACAACAATAACATATTATTATTATTATTTTTATATACTATGACTCCTCAAAAAAATATTATTTGACAATTTAACTTTTCCACTTTTTCCAATTCAGCAAATTTAGATCAAAAGTCCTTCATTTCGTTTTTATTCAAACTCTTCACGATTTTAATTTCAGCTCTAGTTTCTGCTTCAGCAGCATCTCTTTCTTTTTCTCTAATTCTTGTTTTTTTCTTTTCTTCGAAAGCTCTTTGTTGAGATGCCTCTTTGGCAACTTGTTCAACATTACGTCTTTGAATAGCAACTCTTCTTTTTTACGAGCTTGTTTTTCAAAATCTTCCTGTGATTGTTATGGTGGTGATGACAATGTTCTTACAATAATTTCCTCGCGTTCATCTACTACAAATGACTCATTTTCTGTTGGTTTCGGAGAGAGGTTGGTGATAGAGTTTGATTTGAAGAAGAAATAGGTGAGTTTGTAGTGTTACCTCTACTATAAATAGTATTACCTCTTTTGTTGAAAGTGATTGTTTATCGAGTGGGTCATTGAGTTTCAAACGGTTACGAATAGTAAGATCATTTGGTGTTCCTGCTCGACAATTATTAATAAAAACGATTCAAAATTATGTGTAATTTTAGAATATACCACAAAGTAAGAAGAATTATTCAATGAGAACAAAACACCATCCTACCTTAAACATGAACCAAAGCACATGCTATAAATTAAATGATAAATAGAATTATGAAATAAACAATCAATTAAATCAATAAATCAATTAATTGAAACATTTTCTATAATAACTGTCACCATTATCACTTACCTCTTTGTATACCGCTAATTAAATATTTCTTAAACAAATAAATTTTTATCTCATATTTCATAAATCTATCCATCTATATATACAAATAACTTTAAAAAAAGAATTGATCGTAATTGAAAAATAAAAGGAAAATACCTTTAATAAAACAAATTTATTTTTCAAATTCTTAGATAGCCGTATGACACTTCTTTAAACATCCTGAGCCTTTAAAATATAAAGAAATTTTATCTCTTGTATCATAACAAACCTAGACATATTATTATTATTAATCATTAGTTGTTTTATATATATAAGTGATTATTATTTATTGCCATTATTATAATTATAATTCTATATATGAATATATGCAGATTGGTATGCTTCTGTGATAGCTGAAACATTTTATATACATAACATGTGGGCCATTAATTTCATTTTTGTGATATAAATTTGTGATATAATAGGGCGATCTGCAACATAGTAAAAAATCCTTTTAATGAAGAATCAATTTTAATAATTTCATACGCTTCATGACCAAATCATACAACATTTTTTCCATGACAGGGTCTGCATGTATCACGTTAAATGATATCAATTTTTCTGTCTTTTTCCGTATAGGCAAAGCCGTGTGTGTATCGTTCCGCAGTTTTGAAATTCATAGAAATGCTCAAATTTTTTTTTATGAACCAAAATCTATTTATCAATTTTAATGCTAATTAAAATGCAAATATTAAAGTTATCTATAAAATCCCAAATGATCCAATTATTTGTCTGTTCACCGTGTTTTGTTTGTGTTGCTTATAATTAAATAGCTATATCGCTGAATAATAGAGAAATACTCATTTCACGTTAGAAAAAATATATATAATAAACTTCAGCATAAAATAAATTATTAATTTACCTTTACAATTTATATAATTAATATTAACAAACTATATAATAATAAAACTCCCCCAATTGTTAATGATTTCATTCATAAAATAGTAAATGGAAACAAATTTTGGTTTGTAAAAAAAAAAAACTTTTTAAAACTTTTTTTTATTTGTATTAGATCCGCACAACTTACATAGGATTGAAAAACATATATAACATAGGATTGGGAAAACATAGTGAATGTTGCTTATGAAGATAAAATAAAATTTTAAAAAACAATACATAAAATTCAAAATATCACAATTTTATTTATTATGTAAATGTATGCTTTTTTATTATCTCGGGATATGGATAAATAAACAAATTCCACGCTGTCTTTTCTTTTCCGTCAATTAATTGTTGTTGTGAGTGTATACATGCATTCTATGCATACACTCAAGATTTTTTTGTCGCTTAGTAATATTGAACAAAAAAAGATCTTTATGTGATTATGAATTTTAATTTAAAAAGATGCATTTGCAAACAACATTGTTAATCGATAAAATCATCACCATTAAGTTTCTAAAGTTATCTAAACTTAATGCCCACCGAATTATGATAGAGTACGAATATCTTTGGTGAATAGCTTCGGTATAGAAGATCGCTTCCTAAACTACAGGCTTCCGCTGTGGGGTTGCTTATTATTATGTTATTATTTAAATCTGCCTCGTGTAATTCTAATTATTGCGATTAAATTGCACAGCTGTTATTTTTTTGAATGCAAAATCAATTTTTTACGAAGAAAAAAAACAAATTCAAAGATTAAATCTAAAATTTGAGGTTGTTTATTTATATTTTTTCATTGATGACGATAATCTATGAAACACCGTCATGATAAAAAAATCATTATTATTTGTAATTTGATTGAGAATGAATTATTTATTTACTTTTTTTTTGTTTGGTTAAAATTTACAAATTGAAATGATTATTATTAATTATTATTATTCTAAATAAATACTAAATTATTATCTCCTAATTTTTTTCTCGCCCAATTCTCGCCCTCATCCTGATATCCACATCTCTAATTCCCTCATCATCATTCATACAAACCAGCCGAATCTTCAATGACTCTTGTTCTTCTTCTATTATACAACAATATGGGGATGACCATCATATGTAAAGATATTGTCAACCAAAGAAATATCAAATTATATAATCTATATTTACAAGCTTCCTTAATACTATTCTTATCATTGAATTGATGAGGATATTTCCAATCGTTTGGACAATTTATTGGTATTTCGCCTTCTATTACATTAGATGTTAATTTGGTATAAATGCCTAATGATTAAATAGTATTAATTATCACAATATTAGAGCCTTTTAAAATCAAAACTTGTAGTTTAAATGTGTGGATATGCTTACATGCAAATATTAAATATATCAAAGATATTATGCTAGAATGTAATATTAAATAATAATAATAATTATTATAATTGATTGATAGCATTACGAATACACCAATTAAGGAATTTACCTTTCTATTTTATAGAATTGTATATATTTCTTCCAAAAATCATAATAATCGTTTGAATAATAATAATGATA